AAGCTCTCCTCCTCCATAGGAGAAGGTACAGACTACGTCCTTGATATAGTACTTGTTGGCCAAAGTAGACGCTACAGGTCTACTAAGGTGCCGTACCCGGTCCTGTAGGTGCAGCCTTTCCAAACAGTCGCGACTTATGTAATTCCGTGTGGAGCCTATGTCTATGAAGGCACCACATTTGCGGCCTCCGACATCCACTTCCACCACGAAATTTTCCCCTCTAGGACCTTTCCTCAGCGCCACCCAAGACTCGCGAGGGTCCTTGTTTGACCACTCACTCTCCAAGTCCTCTAAGGCTTTAGACACATCTAACGTACAGAGCATAGTTTGGTCTTATTGTGTCTGCGAGGTGACTAAGGGGTCATTAGCCTTGGCCTTGTCATGAAGTAGGGAGGGTATCATTCCTACTTCATCTTGAGTAGAAGCAGCTACTACTTCCACTGGCCTCACGTGTTTCCCGAGCTAGAAGCCTGGAAATAAGTTGCCCCAACTTTTGGCGCAACCTTTTGCGTAACCTTAGCGTTCTGACACTTTCACTGCGTGTGTCCGTATTCTCCGCAGTTGATACAAGCGCCACACATTCGGCGGTCACGCCACACGTCTTGATCAGGACCTGCCTTTACCCACTCAGCCTATTTGGTCTGATTGGAGGCGGCCTTCCCTTGACCCCTAGGCTGGCCCTTCCCTCGGCCACCTGCCTTAGTCTTTACTACCGCGGCGAGGGTGCTACCCTCAGCTATCTCCTCGCCGTCAAACTCTGTGTAGTCCACTAGGTCAGAGAGCTCGTCGATCTCTGTTTGAGTCCCATCAGACTCCACCATCATCAACTTCGCCCCCTTCTTCTTCCACTCCTGAGGACTCTTCTTCTTCTTTGAGTCATTTCCTGAGGTGGGTTGAGCATTGCCTAGCGTGGCCTCCAAATCTAAAGCCTTCCTAGACAATGTCTCAAATGAGTGGTACTCGGTGCGTGCCTCACTGGCTAGTAAGTTCCTGATGTTCTCTGGAAGACATCTAATGAAAGTAGTTAACAGGAACTGGTCACTGCAGTTAATGCCCGGGACGAGGATCAGGCTCTCAACGGTAGTCGTAAGCTCTCTAACTGACCGGAACTTGCGCTGGTCTAGTTTATTTATGGCATCAGTGGCCCTTTGCGCCTCCTGTGGGTTATGCCATCGAGCCTCTACCATCTCCATGAACTGGTCTAGAGTCAAAAACTTGGCCCAGTCCGCCATGCGTCGCCCGAACCCGGCTTTCACAACTACCCCATCTAACCATTTGGCTGCCTTACCCTCTAGGTAAGATGCCGCAGTTACCACTTCATCCTCTGGCAAGGCCCTTTTGGCCTTCACCCAAACCGGGACCGACCTCAACCATGTGTTGAGTTCCTCGTCCTTCCTCTCGCCTGAGAAGGCAAGAGACGGTTTTATTGGGGTCTTGGGATACCATTGACCTTGCTGCTGTCCCTGTGTAGGAACAGGTTGTTGCGGTGGTGTAGCAACCACCGCTGGACCCGAAGAAGAAGATGCAACAGTCTGTGCGGCTGCTGCAGATGTGTCACTTGGCTGTGTGCCAGCTTGAACCGGAAAGGGGCCTGACATCGCCGATAACGGCAACGACGATTGTGCTGGTGGCCGAAATCCTGGCTTTGTCAAAGTATCCAGGATCTGGTCTAGAGTGCTCTGCATGAAGTCTAATTTGCTGTCCAAGTGTGCGTGTAGTGACAACATATTCTTCTTCAAAACTTTCATGTCGTCAGACATAGTTGACTCGTCCAAGCCCTCTAGTTCAGCCTTGTCAGCCTCTAAAGTTTCAAGCCTGGCTGCTCTAGTTTTCATCGCATTTTCTCTATCGGTAGCTTCTTTCAGGTCCTGCTCTAACTTACGGCGGAGCATCTCGACCTGCTCGATCTGTCTGAGCTCCCTCTGACGCGGGGTCAACGGGCTGAACTGCGACCCCGCCATTTTACTAGAAGACTGTCTAGAACCTGTGGAACCGGAAGTGCCCGAGGAACTTGTGGAACTCAGTGGCATTCCCAATTGAGTCCCACTATTCCCTGACGAGGACGCAGACGATGACGCAGCAGAGCTTGCGCCGAGCCATTACAGCTGCTCTGGCTGCTGTTGCTGGCTCTCTTGCTACTCTGTTTGCTTCCTGTAGTCCTGCTGCTAGAGCACGAGCTCTACGTTCGTCGTCTAAGGCCCTGAACACGTGCGGAACCCTTGGTGCTTCCGAACGTGTAAGTCTCCTATTGTCAGCTCTATCATCAACAGGATCTGACCCACTCATTAGTTAGGCAGATAGTGTCTACACTAGAATCCCCTAATGGAATCCTACCGCAGCATGTATCTGTCCGGCACGTAATTTTCTAGAAATAGTTGTGTCCGGCGAGTTCCCTACTATACCGAATCAAGTGGCATGTCTACAACATTCACACAGATTGTTTACATAGTCTAGATGCACCCTGATTGGTTCACTTACATCAGCATTAGTTAGAACTGGCTATGGTAGCATACAACAGTCCTACACTAATCTGTCTGTGATGTTAGCAGTCCGTCAACCAACTAATCAAAGGTACAAAAAGACAATGTGGCAGATGTATGATTGATGGGTATGGTTGTGTAAACAGTTGAATACCAATTGGAACCTACCCTTCCCCTCAATCCAACATACCGAACAGCATCATTGAGCGAGCAGTGTCTTCGTATGTGAATCGGCCCACCCCTGTGCCCAAGTTGTCACCGAGCAAGCCAGCCCAACCACTCTTATTTACCCTCGTACGGCGACGAGCCTTCCTGTCCATGTGATCTGGCTGATCAGAAGGAATTTATAGAGCGCCCCCATCTCTTCAGGAATTCTTTAACGTCGCAGTAAGGATGACGATCACAGCCAGATTCACAATGAACTCCCAACCAGAAATATTTATAGACGGTCTGGTAAGCGTCTGTCATGGGCTGGCACACCCGGAGGAACTTCTATCAGCGCAACAAGTGCCAAACAGGACAGCAGCCATCGCATGCGTCCACTACTCCCCGTAGGTTGGCATGGTGACCGTGACCCAAGTGCTTCGACCAGGGCGCCCTTCAGAGGCACCGCCCTTTCTCCTTCCAGATGCTTCCGGGAAGATTGTCGTCTCTCAAGGTAGCGCGCTCACGACACCTCACCAAAAGAGAGGACTCTCAAGTTGGACTCACTTCCTCACGGTAAGAAGAGATTGAGAAGGTAGATAAGGTAAGGGATCAACATACCTAGAGATAGCTGCCCCCAACCACAAATTTCTCACCAATTGAGCTGATGTTGCATTTGATGACCGGTCATGACCTCGGTACCACCCACAACGCAATGCAGTGCCACCTTAGTCCAATGCCACATCAGCATGCTCTCATCATCAATCAAACATTCCGTCTGTCACCACGGTTATTAATGCCGTCTGTAGCCTTCAGGCGCACCCCTCTCTACCCAGGGCGTGCGCCTAACAATGGCCTGACGTCACAAGTACCAATTGCGAAGAAGCATCGTCAACGCACCAAGTCTGTATAACGCCAGCATGCCGAAGGTAAGTGGCGATCAAAACAGCTCCGATACCAAATTGCAAGGAACATGAATATGGACGACGCACAGAAATCCAGAATGCAAAATCACACTGAAGTCCAAGTAGTCAAAGCCAAAGCAGATAGCACATGGAACCGAGTAACCATCCAATTGAGAAT